ATAGTAGTTATTATTATTATTAAATTTATTATTGTTCAAAGCTTCCAACTTTAAATAATCTTCATTGAATTTCTTCTTTCAATTTGCCAATATTGCGAATTTTTTTTGTCCTCCCAGTGCTTTCTTTTCGATTTGTTTTATTTTTAGAAGCTATTGAATCTCCCAAACTTTTTCTTATCTCTCGAGTTTCTTCCCGTAACTTTTGCTCATCAATTTTCTACATCAATTCATATTTCATAAATAAGTCGGTGTTCTCCGAACTTTTTAAATTCTTCGATATTTTTCTTATTATACAATAATAAAAATTACTGAAATTTTTGGACATCTCGACATGAACATCCACTTTTCAAATTTGCACATTTCCATGGGTGACCTGTTTTTCACCGAAGTCGAATACTTTAAAATTCGTTTTCCTTTTGGAACCTTTTCTCGTTCCTACTCGTCTCCTTATAGGGAGCTAGCCAATTCTCCAAAAGACGTTTCTACAAATCCCGCGTCTCTGAAATCTCAAAGCGATTTTCACGCAAGCACTCGTTGGAATTTGTACCGTTGAAAAATTCAAAATTAATCCAGAAACAGGAAGCACTTTTTCTCTCGGCCCCTCTTTTGCCCCCATTCGAACCGATTCCCATGGTAATCGGTCGATTTAAATTGAACATCGAGTCACCGTTAAATCCTGAACCGTTCGTTCGTTAAGCCTACAGTTTCATCGAGATCCGACGATCGAGTTGAAAAATACAACGAGCGTTTAAACATTTTCTAGTACCGTGCTTTTAAACTTAACCTGTGCTTCTGGCATGCGAAAATCCATATGTATCATTTTGATGAGACACGTTATAAAAAGAACAATTGGAATAAAAAACTTAAAGCATATATTTCTCTGGTCGAATTCTATTTATTATTTTTTAAATTTAATTTATATGGTTGCATCAGCCTGACAGGTTATTAGCAACCACAGTGTCATTAAGAATAATAAAATTAAGTATACCAGTATCTTGAAGAAACATTGAGATAATCTTGGCTAACAAAGTTAGTATTGTACAGAATTTGATTTTGTTAGAAATTAGAATTTAGTTTTAGGACTCTATTTGATTATTTGATTTAAAATTATTTTTTAACCGACTTCGCAAAAGGAGGAGGTTACTCTATTCGATTAGTATATTTTTTCTTTTTCTCTTTTCTATTAGATTTGCAATAATGGGGCAGTGTATACGATTGTTGATGTAAAAATATAATATAATGCGTTTTTTAACTCTCAGACAGCGGACCATGGAGAGACTCCCCCAAGACGGCGGACCATGAAGAGAACCACAATTTTAATTTAATTTTATACTTCATTATATTTTGTTTCGTCTAAAAATTATACACTTATTTTAAATTAATATACTTGTATAGTTTATTATGTAAGGAATGCGTTATATTATATTTTCCACTTTTTTAGGAAAAAGTTCAATTAATATATAAGAGTCTACAAAAAGTGAATAAATATTACACAATTAAAACATTTTTTAATTTATAGTAATATGTGTATATATAGATATATGAAAAATAATCATATTTTATTATCATACAGTGCACATGGATTTCCAAGCACAAGCTACTCGCGTCTGACCACAAACGATCCATGTCACTTACACTCTATGGTGATCGATCTGTGGAAAGATGGATGACTCGTGTATAAAGATAGATGTCTTCAAAATACATCCAACTATAGACGATCTTCTGTCACCTATGTTCTACAACGATTGATCTGCTAAAAGATTGGAATATGACCGACTACACATGACCCATTCTCATCACGTTATGTTACACGTTCGAGTGGCTCATTTCTAAAAAATTCTAATTAGAAAACTTGTTAGAAGAATACACAAACTACACCTTTCTATCTCATTTCCTTCAACTTCCTTCTAATTGCTCATCAAGTTACTCTTCTAAAAATTAGCAACTATAGTTACAATTTTAACACTTTAATGGCCACTCTCATATTCTTTGCCTTGCAATTTTGCAAAAGGCAAATTGCAATTTTGAATATTAGTAATACTCATTTTTTTTTTATTAATACCTTGAATGCTATGGGGTCACCGGTGACAGGCACCACAAATTACACATGCCTGAATAATTAAAAGTATACCTAATGTAATTTTATCCAGAAAATTAAATTTCAAAATTTCTATAATACCTATGCATCAGAAAATTACCAATTTTTAATAAATAAAGTAACGAATATCAATGTACAAAATTATGTATCAAAATGACACAAACCACCAAAGTGTTAAAATAATAAAAATAGAGAACAATAGAGGAAGCACGTTACATTTCAACGGAAACAAGTTAATTACAAGCTGAGCAAACTGTACATTCAATCGTATCTCAGCCAAACCAATACCATTTCCCAGCCCTTTGACGTTCCTTCAAACACTCTGGATCCATTTTGGAAACAAAGTGGTAACTGCTATAGGAATTAAGCAAGTCAGATTCATTATGGTCCGTCGGAGACGCAACAAATCCATGCATTCTCGACAAAGGGACAAGGGAAAGGGACATATAATCGTGGACGTTCACGAAACACGCCAGAAATTCAATTTGAAAGATCAAAATCTCTCTTCCGCGTTCAAAGGACGTCCAACCAATACCTCCACTTCTGCTAATTTAACTTCGAAATATGAAGTTTCTTATTAGTAACAATTTACCTGCGGTTTATTATATTGAAATGTATAGTATCTTCTTGGTAATTGAAACTAATTGTAAGACATTTTCAATATAAGATATTTTTGTTGAAATAGGAATTCACACAAATTTCTAAAATATTTTATATGGATGATGAATCGTGTCAAAATATAGAAATTATAAAAATTGATTTAAAAAAATTGGTTTCTACTAATTTTAATTTGTACTCAATCGCAATATCGAATCAGCTGAACATCGAAATCTATTTGGAACACATTCAAACATGGCCAATATTAGCATCAGAATTCAACAAAATCGCGATTGATTTCCTCAAAAGACAAACAAACGATTGCAATCAGTATGCAAAGTTTCCATCGTGCCTGTCGAAACTGGGCGAATTTATTTTCCTAGATTGTAAACGGACATTTTTTCCCTCCTCTGTAGGCTCGTTTGAACGATTGCTCATCGATAACTATATTATCGTTTCAAATAAACATCGATCAGAATCGAGAACACTATCGAGATGGATCAAAAAACGAGAGCAGAAATTAAAAATCTTTTCCCCAAAGGGAAGATTTCTAAAATTAACCAGCGTTTTCCTAACAAATCGTATGTCAATTACAAATTAGCAACTGAAATTAATTAATTTGTAACTTTCGAAACCTCTAAAGTACCAGTGCATTGTTCAAACAATTATTTGACTACAACAAGGTTGCGATACAAAAGCACCACAACATTAATTTACCAGAATTTAGTAACAATATTGTGAACAACATATACTATGAACAACTTTGTTCAAATACACTGGTTACTGCAGTACAGTATCTGCATATTATTATTTAATAATATTCCATTCTCTATACTGCCTTGTAAGACATTAATTGGCCATAATTTTCTAGTGAAAATACAGTTTCAATAATTAATTGTTTAATTACCTTCAGTAATTGAAGTGATTGTTTTACTACTGATTTTCAACATTTTCATTGTTCACTTCATGTATTTATTTTACAATAATAATTCTGAATGTTTCCATTAATAACAATCGTTTAAAGATAAATGGAAAATAATTGGAATGAGATTGTTGATAAGGTTTTGAAACAGAATTTTCATTTAATAGAGCAAATATAACAGTAAACAGAAAGGAAGTTATTTACTCCGAAGAATATGAAAAAGCTATTGGATCGTAGAAATTACTATTGAATTATGGATTTGCAGTTCTTAGCTGGTTTTCATCGAATTTTCACCTTCGAACGATTTTCTTCCGTTTTCAAGAAAGAAACATTTCACTCGTTTATTTACTTTGCGGTTTCGCTTACAATTCTAACGAGATTTTCCTTGAATTATGAAATTTCTTCGAAGCTTATCTCTAACTTTTATCATTATATTACAATTTTAAAGTATTTTTATATTAACCTATTTTTTTAGTACCGTGTATAAGAAAAAATTCGACTATTTCAATTAAGAAATATGTTTTATTTTGAGGTTTTGCTTTATGGTATTAGAATAATTTCTACTTGCACCCTAATTTTTAAATAATTTCTAATATTGAAATAATTTTTGTTTGCACCATAATTTTCAAATAATTTCTAATACTATCAATCCTGGTACTAAAATAATTTCTATTTGGATTCTAATTTTCAAATAATTTCTAATAATAAACTAATGTTTATTCAATTTTCAAATAATTTCTAATACTAACAATCTCAGTACAAACATAATTTCTGTTTGCATTCTAATTTTCAAATAATTCCTAATATTAACAGTCTCAATTTATATTAATGATTATCTGCATGTGCGATGTCAATGACTCAAACAATGGATTCAGCTAGTAGTACATTCTCTATCCATTCATTATCTATTGGGGTTGCGTTATCTAATACACTTATTTCCTTTATACGTATATTCCCGGAATATTCATTTCTCATATTTCCTGCAATTATATCATGAAACGAGATTGAAAAACTTAAAGATAACTAAATTTCGAACTTTTCCTTTATGAATGTCTTTCATTACAAATTTTCTGCACTTAATTTTAATTTAAATACCGTTGTGTATATTTCATAGATTTGGGTCATGATTCACCCGTCTTTATTGTAATTCAGAATAAGTGAGTCACAGTAATTGCCTGCAACTTCACAATTAATTTTTTCGAAAACCGAGCCTCCAATGAAAAAATGTCATTCTACATTTTTCACTTATTCTTTTATACAGAATCATTACATGTAGGACACTTTGTATATTTTCTAACCAGAATCTAAATATCACGCTTTTAAAGCAAGGACCTGCTGAATCTATTAAAATAGTTATTAATAAAATATTATATTTCAACTTACTAATGACATTATCTGCACTTTAATGACTAATAATCCCGATTATCCAAACAACATCTGAAAAATAAAAATAAACAAGAATTAGCATAATACAACATTTTGAAAAACAAATATTGTAAGTGCTGTTAGGAATACTGTCGTAAACAAGATATGGATTGAAATTAGAACAAAAGTGAATAGATAATACCAGAATAAGCATGAAAAAAAAAACACTTTTGCAATTTTCTACAATATAATAGATTTTCTTTTTCAACTATTATAAAAATTCTGATATAAAATAATAAAATTTATAAAAATAAGAAAAAAGAAAAAGAAACATCTCTAATAATTTATATATTTCAAAGTTTCTTATGGTGAAATATCCAAGTCTCCTTGGAAGATCTCATCAACTACTAACAAAAAGTTTCCATAAATTTTCATTTCTATGAAAAAGAAAGAAAAATATAGAATCTTTCCACATATTTCCATTTCCATGAAGAAGAAAGAAAAATATAGAAACATCTTGGATCTCGTATTCTGGAACAATGCATTCGGTAACAAGAGTCACTCTTCAATCACGTACGAGCTGACACCGCGTTATTGTTAATTGGCCGTCTGGCGTTCCCCATGCCCGACACACCGTTCATATTAATTACCGGAATCCATTACGCGGACACGCGTCCGTCGATCCGGACACCTTTTGTCATTACTACGCTTCCACTGGTATCATTCAAGTATCCTGCGAACAGCTGATCCACGAAAACCCATGCGTTAGAAAACTGGCTACCGTGTCATTTTCCATATGAGGAAAATCATATTTTGAACGTGTGCCCACAAGTGGATTTTTGGACACCAGCCATACATCATTTTAATGACTCGAACCATGTACCACGATTTTAATGCGATTTTGGCAACGTCCAAGACGAAAATCGCGACTGCTCATTAGGTGAAAATAAATTTTCTCACCTCTTTAATTTATGTTAAACGTTTCTCAATTATCTGGAATTATTTCAATATCATTTACTTTAAGTATTTTAATAAGAATTTCTTTTTTCCTATAATCGTCTTTGAAATTTCCTTTGAAAAAATTCCATGTTTTTCCAATGCTTTGAAATGTTAATGGAAAATTCTTCGCACGGTTTTCAAACGAAAACGAAGTCTCGATGATCAAAATTGGTGAGCGTTTTCAAAGCGTGATCGAAAATGAAGTATTGAAAGTTCGATCACGTTTGAAACCGAATTTAATCGATGCAATTTAAAAGGAGCAAACGGTGAATGCATTCGAGCTTGCAATATTGAAAAATTGGAAAAGGGAAAAATTCAAGGAGTAAAACTATTTTACCGTTAGTTGAAATTTGTGCAATAGAAAAAGAAAATTATAATAGATGGAAAAATATTCATATCATTTTGAAGAAAGTCAGAAAATTGATTGTGAAGTTTTAATAAGAATCAATTTTTTATTTTAATTATACATTTGAAAGAAAATCCTTCGAGTCACAGTTTTTCTTTCTTATAGCTCAAAGCCATAACTGCAAATTTCCACATCATTTCCTTAATTTTTCCAATAAACGAGCAACGAAAAGACCGTTTGAAAAGTTCGCAGCATTTGCTGAAAAGTTGAGGAGAAGAAATGCAAATTCGAATGTCTCGAGAAGACGAGCCCGGAATCATAAATTTGAATAGTTAAACAGAGCTAGTGAATAATCAGGATGATCATTATACTGTGTTGAAATTTTCCGTCCGTCTCTTATTCGACCCCAATATGCATTGTAAATTAGCCAGTGCCATGGTGGATGCAATTTTTGCAATCCATTTTTAAGCGAACGTGACGTTTGCTGTTAATAAGAATCTCTTAGTTACCTATTGCTATGCTTTTAAAGCAAACTAGCTTGATGAATTGTTTTTTTATTTATTTTAGATGCTATGAATAATAGATTATTTTTTAAATATGCATCGTTGGAAACCGATGCATAGGTATTATAAGTGATAAGAGCAACGGTTTTTGTTTTTATTTTTTTAAGTAAAAATAATGGATTTAAATTGATATTATGAATGTTAATTATATCCACTGGTAAATATACCAATTTTTCCACCACGTATGGAAAATTTATTTAACCCTGTCAACAATTTTTCACAGTCAAATTTTTCCATTCCCCTTTCCCCTTTTCCGATTTCCTTTTCTTCATCCCCTTTTCCCTTTTCCATTTCTCCTCTCCCATTTTCTTCTACCCTCTTTCCACTTTTTCTTCCCCTTCTCTCCCTTTTCCTTTATTCGTTTTCCCCCTTCACTGTCCCCCTTCTCCTTTAACATTTTCCAATTTTTCATTTCCCATTTTCTCCAAACTGTGAAATATATTTTTACAAATTCAGAAATTAGGACTCTAAAGGGTTAAAGTTTTCCTCATAAATTTGTTTTTAATCCTTGTTTCTAATTTTCAGCGAAGAAAATTCAAATTTTCCATTTTCTAGAAACTCGAAATTCAATTCCATTCGATTCCAAGTGGTTCCATGGTGGCGTTACTAGCCCTGCCTTCGTGCCTTGGATTAAGGGTGGATTAAGGGTGTCCTAGCCGGGGGTTGAGGGTTGTGGGTGCACAGCCTGTTCTACTTAAGCGTATACCACGATTTATCCCGTAAATTTCGGGGAATGGGTGTCTTTCTTCTTCTAATGGTTGCTCGCTCGTTTATTCTTATTAAAAGCTTTCTTTTCGTTCGTTTGTTGTTCAATGTTATTTATGATACGGGCTTAATGCGATGTAGGTGGCGAGTAAGATTACTTTTCTGGGTTCAACAGGGGTGTATCATTTAAATTTAACGTTGGATTTACAAATTTGTGTAAATTACAAATTGTGTTGACATTTTCCTGTTTTTCTTTTTTTTTTCATGCAACTGAATTCAATTGATATTAGATTTTAATTTTGACTGTAAATGAAATTTCTATTAAAACAGAACTTCAATTTTAAAATATAAGAACGACTGTTTTAAATGCTGTTGGAAAAATAATAAATCAATGGAAGATTGTTTGGATACGAATACGAATAACGCAATTCTGATATTTGTGATAAATTGATCTCGCGTAAGAATTATTACAATCGACCACTGAATAAATCTCGCAAAAGACATGATTTATCATTGAGATATCGAAGAAAAGGGAACAATCCTCGGGAGAACAACCCTTAGCCAATGTCGTACTCGGCTCGACCATCCGTTTTCATTAAACGTTATGAAATTTTATTTCGACAATTCTGTGGTTGTAATAGGAAAGTGTTAAATAATGCATTATCTCACATATTAAATTTCTGAAATTGTCTACCAAATATAAAAGTAGAGAATAGAAATCGATTCTTTTGGAAAATTCCAAAGTTAATTGCATGATATGCATAATTAATCTATGATAAATTTAATCAATTTCAATGTAAAAATTTCTAGAATCTTTTTACAGATTCTTTTGATAAATTGGAAAATTAATTACCTATGATACATTTAATCAATTTCAATGTAAAAATTGCCGAAATATTTTTATAGTCGTTCTTTTGATGAATTGCATAATTAATTACCTATGATAAATGAAATCAATTTCAATGTAAAAATGACTGGAATATTTTCGTAGATTCTTTTGATGAATAGCAAAATTAATTACCTATGATACATTTAATCAATTTCAATATAAAAATTGCTGGAATACTTTTGTACAATTCCTGAATAATTGTTGCAAATAGAAATTCATGTAACGTATCAATTTCTCCCATCAGATTGTTACATTCGTTGCCTTTCACCTGTTAAATCACGAATGTAATACAATATCGATACAACCTTTATTAAATAACTGCATCACCAATGACAAAAACGAATTCCTGGCAGATGTAACGAGAACAGAGGACGAAACGCGTGTCTGCGATCTACGTTGTTTAAATCGGTCACGCACGTCCCGTGAATTTCGAGAATGAAACAAAAGCAACGATCCATCGTCGAAAGCTGAAATGTTTAACAATTAAATCATAAAATGATGAAAGCGATGCGACATTTTAATAAGAATCCAATTACACATTAAATGACACAAAATTATTATAAACATACCATTATTATAATAGAGTAATAATTAAAATAATTTTCAAACGCTGCCAGCTAAATATTTCGAATTTTCAGAAAATCAATTTGAAATGTTAAAATATTTAATGGACACAATGTAAATTATTCTTTTATTATTTCTTCCCGCAATATAAAGTATAAAAAAAATTATTCAACATTATTCCTTTCTGCGATCAGAGCACGCATCGGCGAACAAATAAAATAAAAGGGAAATCGGAAAGAAATGCATCGAACGAAAAACTGAAAGTTTTGATCGAACGATAGGAAACATATGCATGAAGTTTCGTGACACTTGAGAAATCAAGTGAAAAATTCAGCGGAAAGATTGAAAACTCAAAGGAGGAGGCTCTGACACGGAGCGTGGAACAAAAAGAAAAGAAAAGGCTCCCCGGATGAAAGTGGAAAATGAGGGTAAAATATTCTGATAGAGGAATAATGAATGAAAAACGCAAGAATTTCATGCAAAGGTGTAAATCTTGATAAAAAATGAAGAGGAACGCGGCGAAAGAATAGAAATGAAAGAGGAGCATCGGAAAAGAGAAGGAAAAGAAAAATTGCAGCCAAGCTTCAGAAGATGAAAGTAACAAATGACCATAAAGGGGCATGCAGAATTAACAGAGAATTGTTCCAGCTGAAAAATGAAAAGTAAAAATAGAACAATAGTAAAGAATAATCGCAGGAAAAGATACCTTAAGAAATCATAATTAATTCCTTGAAATGAAAATGATGAAAATATCGATAAATTATTTTTCAATCAAAGAGAGACTGATACAAAAAAGAAAAGTGACAATTTTCCGACAAGATGAAGATTTATCTTTCTGAAGAAAGTTGAAGTAAAAAGTGGAAAGAAAAAGGTGAGTAGAAGAATGGTTGGAGGAAAGAAAAGCTCCGAATTAAAGGTAGAAGTTTCGGTCAAGAAAGTGAAACGAAATTACACGATTTCAACGAGGAAAATGGAAACGTACAGAGGAAAAATTCTGTCGGGAATG